TCGCTTCCTGTTCATCTTCTTTTTAAAAAATATATATTTATTTTGGGGGGCTGGAGAGATGGCTCAGTGGTTAAGAGCACTGGCTGCTCTTACAGAGGACCAGGGTTCAGTTCCCAGCACCCACATGTGGTTAACAACTGCCCTTAACTCCAGTTCCAGGAGATCCGATGCTATTTTCTGACTTCCATGGGCACTGCAGGCACATGGTTGATCTTACATGCAGGCAGGCAAAATAGTCATACACATAAAATAAAAATAAGTAATTTATTTTTAAAATTTTGGTTTTTACAAATATTATTTTGTTTGTATGAGTGTATTACCTGCATGTATGTAAATGCACCTGTGTCGTACAATGCCCGCAGAGGTCAGAAGAGGGTGTTGGATCCCCTGGAATTGGAGTTATGAACAGTTGTTAGCCACCATGTGAGTACTGGGAACTGAATCTGGGTCCTCTCTAAGAGCAGGCAGTGCTCTTCTCCAGCCCCAGATTTACTTATTTACTTACTATTTATTTATTTATTTATTTATTTATTTATTTGTTTGTTTGTTTATTTTTTGTCATTTTGAGACAGGGTCTCCCTGTAGCCCCAGCTGTCCTGGAACTCTCTATATAGACCAGGCTGGTCTTGAACGCACAGAGATCTGCCTGTCTCTGCCTCCCAAGTGCTGGGATTAAAGGCGTGCGCCACCATGCCTGGCTATTTATTTATTTTTACACTTCAATTTTTTTCTTTAAAAGGAGTGAGTTGTGTTAACAGGGGGGTTAACTGTTTTGTAGGCCAGAAAAAAAAACTGCACTAGAACAAACTTATTTGTCATCATCATCTTCTTTATCTTCCTCCTCTTCCTTGTCCTCTAAAAATATGGAAAGCGTCACGAATTTGCATGTCATCCTTGCACAGGGGCCATGATAATCTCTGTATTGTTCCAATTTTAGTATATGTGTTGCATGTATATAAGTATTTGCCTACATGTATATATGTATACCATGTGTATGCCTGGTGCCTGTGAAGGCCAGAAGAAGGCATCAGATCTGGAACTGGAGTTACGGATTGTTGTGAGCCACCATATGGGTGCTGGGACTTGAACTGGGTCCTCTGTCAGAACAGCCAGAGCTCTTAACTGTTGAGCTGTTTCTCAGGCTCTGTGTGTTCATTTTCATTGATATGTGGCTTAACCTCTCTGAACATCAGTGTCTTTGCTCATAAAAAAGATGGGACAGGGGTTGGGGATTTAGCTCAGTGGTAGAGCGCTTGCCTAGCAAGCACAAGGCCCTGGGTTCAGTCCTCAGCTCTGGGAAAAAAAAAAGATGGGACTATGCTGGGTGTGGTAGTGCACACTTTGATCCCAGCACTCAGGAGGCAGAGGCAGGCAGACCTCTGCCTGGTCTACACAGTGAGTTCCAGTCCAGCTGTCTCAAAAAGACCAAAGGAAGAAAGAAAAAGATGGGACTAGTATTACCCAAACTCATATGAATCTAGTCAGGAAACCCTGTTCTTCAGGATTCCTCAGTCCTACTCCAATGGAGCAATAAAGCCACAAACCTAGTCCTTTAGTGTCACTTAACATTGCACAAACATGGGCAAAACATGTGAATAAGCAATCAGTGTGAGAAGGTGT